GAGGGACAGCTGAATCTTGTGCATGGAGCAGGGATAAATCAGCATCTCCACTAAGCCCTTTGACTGCCAACTCACAAAAAATCATAATTCAAATCCAGGTTTGGTCAATGGCATTCACTTCCCAGATTATTTTCCAAATTAAGAAAGGTTTTAACCAGCTCTGTGTGTATCTTCCTTCACTTTTTACCACTGGTACAAAAAACACTTGTGAAATTCTGAAGCAGGGGAAGGACAGGTGGCTGTGTCTAGGGACACATGGCAAGGCATAAAATGTGAGAATTTTCATTCTTTGTGCAGTTACCAGTAACTTAATCCTGTTTTCACTGGGTGCACTGTTGGGTAGAACATATTTTTGTCTACGCTTTGCTTTGAATAGTTTAAATTCATTTTTGACAACTGTCATTTTCTAATGTCTCTGGATTTTATCAAGGGTTGATTTGCTTTTAAAAAAACACAATTATGCTATATATTTATTCACTACATCAAGTAGAACCTTTTCACTTTTAGATGTTTGGGGAATTATTATTTTTATTGATTATTTTACAGTTAAATTGTATTCTATCAAATCGAATGGGTCAAAGGTTTTCAAAACCCTTTTATTTGTCCAAGTAATTGAAGATGCAGTTCAGTTACAGTGGCAGAACTGTGCTCACTTTGGTTCAACATCTCAAGTTTTCAAGTTGTTCTCATGGTCCCATTAGATCATCTTATTGATTTGCCAGGCATTGATTTACTGGCTGCTCTGCCAGCAGCCATAAGAACACAGTTTGTTTGTAGCCTTAAAAATATTCTGAAACGCTGCTCACAGATTAAGTTTGAGGCTCCATGGCTTTTACTCAGATTTCTCTTTAAAAATATTTCTATGTAGAAACAAAAGAAAATGTATTTAATGTTAGTACCATTTCCCACTGATGAACAGCTTAGGCAAAGAAATTGGAATTAACAGATTCATTTTAGCCCAGTAATGTTTTGGGTTTTTTTTTTTTTAATTTTAGTTTGCACATGCATCAGTTTTTTAGAAGAGGTAATTGTATTCAGGCTTTTCATTTTAGTGCAAAACTAACACGCTCAGACTTTTGCCTGAACTTGCAAATATTTCTGTGCAGCACAAAAGTCTGAGACAGAGATTGCTGAGCAGGCAGTTTGCAGTGGGATTCTCTGCAGACCCCTGCAGCAACAGGTCCCATAGTTCTTTATCAGGGTTACTGGGAAATCCATTAACTCCATCTCCCCTTTTTCCTAGAGCAGCATTCCCTTTGTTCCTCTCCCAGTGAAGTGACAGAATAGCTGTGTGAACATGGGACAGCCTCTCCTTCACTTGGAAGTGTCCAAAACCAGGATGTGGCACTTTTGGACACGGTTTTGTGGTGAGCATGGCAGTGCTGGGATAATCATCTTAGAGGTCCTTTCCAACCTCAGTGATTTTATGATTCAGGGAAAGGTATTAAAGTATTTCCTCCTTGCATGTTGATCTGCCTTATGGAAGGGAACTTGGGAACCTTCAGCATGTAATTTTGATGTGTCAGTTGTGCTGTAAATACATTCTCTCTGGCCATTGCAGACTTCAGAAAAATTGTCCAAGTTGAAAGAGATGGTGAGATGGACAGGTGCAAGGTTTGTGTCCAGCCACAGCCTGAAGCAAAATGGACATTAGAGAGGCTGGATGCAGGGAAGGACAGGAAATATATCTGCCAGTTCTGATGTAGAGAAGGTGGTGGGCTGGGGGACTCTAGGCTCACTTTCACATCTGACTGTTGGAGTGGAAAAATGAGGCTGGTTGTGTTCACAGAGTATTGGGTTTTTTCTTTAAAGTCAAGAAAGGTATGACAAAGCACCCGGGAAGCTTAGGGAAAAGAAACCTCTTCTCTGTAAAGAAACACACTCCTCAGAGCTGCAAAGTGAGCCAATATTGAAAGTTCCCAATGGCTGAAATCAAGACAAGTGCCAAAAGTAAATGTAAGTACAGAAAGAGAGGGAGAAAATCAGAATCACTGAGCTCTCAAGACTCATGGCAAACACAGGACAAAACCTCTCTACTGGCAATACCTAGGATATAAACTATCAATTCCTTATATTAAGCATTTTGCTACTGCAATGCTGAGCCTTTTGTCACTTTTTCCAGAAGCACTGATTATCTGGCATGTAGAATACCATTATTTACCATATGTCTTCATGGGCTATCTTGTCTTCCATGCTGGGTTTAGTGTACCAACCTTCCTGCTGTGTTATTGTCATGTCAGCTTTAATTACTCTGCTTTTAAATGCTTACTACAGGAAAATGACTTTGCAGTGGATTCATGTTTAGGAGATTCCACATTCATAGTGCATTCTCTGGCTGGTGCATAACATGCATTTGATTCAAACATTTTAAATGTCAGATTTAGGGCTTTTATATCTAGAAATGAGTATTTTTATGATTTAATCACTAAAGACAGAGATGCTTTTATAAATATAACTTTATATGTGGGAAATCTCATATTAATGTAAAGAGAACATCTTGTTCTTAATATGAACTGTTAAATTTTATAGCAGTAAATTTATAAGCTTACTTAAAGGAATAATCCTTTATAAACAGTTTGGTGAAGAACCACAGACCAGCCCTGGCTGCATGAGGATGCACATGTGATATGTTGTGCTTATACCTAAGAAATGAGCCATAAATAAGAATACCTCTGCATTGGTGCTTTTGTTTGAGAAATCCCCAAGACTCATTGCAGTGTAAATGGTATAGAATTTCCTAATTTTTCTGGAACCAGACAATGGAGCTTTTGGAATCTTAAGGGTTTCTTATCAACTTGCCAAGAGGAAGCTCTGCTGTGATTACTTATAATTCAAATATGATCTGCCCGTGGCTTTGGCCAAATTCCTCCATTAAGAATAGAAGCAACTGTACCTTGCAGTTCCCCACTGTCTCATTGAGCTATTAGCTCTAACTTCCTACTGCATTTCACACCTGGAAGTGCACTTTTAAAAATAACCCCTAGTTCCAGTGCCATTCCTCAATAAAGTTTCTTTCATCCTTTCTGTTTCCTGCCTCAGGAAGGATGGAGAAGCCAGTACCACACATGAGGAAAAATCTGGGAGCGCAGCCAACAGCAGCAGCAGGAATAAAAGCCAAACACTGCGATTCCAACCAGAACAATTCTTCCCTCTTCCCGCCACAGGAACCTAAAAAGCCCCCTGGAAAGCTTTGGAATTAGGGCTTTCCTGAATAACACACACCTGTGGGTTATTTACCTTGTGTTTGGTATTGCTGCGGTAAGTGCAAAGTAATCACTTGTGTTTGGCTTTTTATTTAAAACAAAACTGGAGTTTATTTGGGTTCTTGTTGCTGTAAGGCTAGGGAGCTGTGAAAAAATTCAGCAACACAGGCTTCATCCAGAAAGCAGAAGAAACGATTTATTGCAGGAGTAGGTACATTTTTATAGACTGGTTCGCTGAACCAAGGATAGAATAAGTTTATTGGTTTAACGAAGGTGATACTTCATGTAAACATATTCTTAAAATATCACGTTTCTTAAGCACTTTTCTTGTCCACAACACCAGGTGTTAAACTCTGTTATTAATTCTTTCTCTTCTGTTTTCCTTTGAGTAGCTAGGAAAACTCAAACTGCTGTTTTCCCTGGCTCTCACCAGCATCCACAGGTTCTCGACATGGAACACAGTAAAAAAGGGAAAAAAAAGGACCCTAGTTAAGTTTCGTAAAGTGGTGCTGCATAGTTTAAAAGGAAGGTATTCCCAGTTATCTTTATGGCCAAGTTCTCATATTTGCCACAGCGAGCTGAAGCACCACTCCTGGTGCTTCCCTGGAAAAAAAAAAAAATGTTGACCGCGCTTGAAGTCTTATAAATGAGTATTTATTTGTGTTCTGCAGTCATCCCTGCTTTGTGTTCCACGGCCAGTAAGGAGCTCAAGGCGCAGGTAATTCAGTGGAGCAGTGTGTCTGGGAGCTGCAGCGCTGGGTGTGAGATTGTTGGATCCTTCCCTGCCGGCGGAGCGCGGCTCTCTCCATCTGCTGGGGATCCTTGTCAGACGGACTGCGCCCAGCCACGGCAGGGACACGGGAAAAAGGCAGCTCCTCATTACCCTCTACCCGGGATCTTGTTTAGCTCTGGGAAGTGGTAATTCAGAAATAAATGGCTTTGGTGGACGTCTTGGAATCTTTAATTAACAAATTACTCTATTAACACACACATTGTTTTCCAGGTGAGTGAGATCATTTGCCCCTGGGGCTTTTTTTTTTCCATATGCCTTCTGTTCCTCCAGCGAAATATGTAACAAATTGAAGTATTCATTTTGATTACATAAAGCACATGGGTATACAATTATATGAAAAGAAAGATGACATTTGTTGCCTGCTTTCCCTAAGGCCCCTACAGGCTTTGCCCTTCACTGAAAAAATAAGTCATAAAGTCATTAGAGTACATGGGTTCTTTGGGTTTTTTTTTGCACATTATATTTTTGGAAGGTTATGTTATTAAAGCAAAAGCCTTTACTAGAAACAATGGGATAATGATTCCTTACAAAACACCACTAAAATAGTAAGTTTTTCTGACAGAAGTTTTACATTCTTTCATATGACAAATGTGTGACCCTTTTGGAGCTTTTAGGAATGCATTTAGTTAATGTTACCAAATTTGTATAATAAATGTATATTAAAGAAATTAAATATTCATGTAAATGTAGTCAGTTTACTGCTTAATTTTATTAATCTTTTTTTCTCATTATTTTATGCTTTACTAAGCAATTAATCTACATTTGAATCCCTTTATATGTTTTACAGGGACTTTCTGTACGGTGAAACAGTTTTTCAGCATATAGTAGGCTGGAAAAACTAGTTCGTTGTGGTCTCAATATTTATTGGGGCATTAAATGAAACATTGGGAGAGAAAGTTAGCTTGCATAACTAAAATGACAACATCTACAAATTATATAAAATCACTAGGGTTTTTTTAAAATATATTTTTGTGGTGAAACATGCAGAGGAATTTATTTGGAAAGAGTTCAGAAAATGAATTGGAGGTGAAACAGTTGTGAAAAAGAGTTTCCTTTGTTTTGTCCTTCTTGGGACTTGGATCTAATCCATGTTGAGGTTCCGTTCTTTTATTCTGTATCTTCTGTCTTGGGGAATTTTTTCCTTCTTTCCGTCACCTAGCTGATTAAAACAAGGACTCCTGAATTTCTCTAGACCTGGCCTCTCTCCCACTGCATTTTTTAGATATGTTTTCTGGATATCTTGCAGAAATTTAGCCCTGGGAACTTGACCCAAGCTCTGGTTCCTCATCTCTGCCGTCCAAAGGTGGGAATGATGGGCTGTGCCTGGATTCATGATAACAACACGTGATTCCCTCTGTAGATTGTTTTACTGCTGCTGATTAAAAATGACCACCTAAACCACTAAATTAAACCTTAAATTAAGACTGTGTTGAATGTTTGGTAGGATCTTCCTATCAATATCTGTTGCAAGTCATGCAGGTTGTCTTTCCAGTCTCAGCAAGAAACCTGCCATCACTAGAGAGGACTAAGCTAGAAGATACTGTGACCAAGAAAACCACAGACAGGAAATTGGACTTATTTTCCAGAACATAAGCTTTCCATCATGCATCAGGTAAAAGAACATTCCATGATTTTTCACTGTTCTAAGCAACAGAGGAACGTGCATTTGTGTGCCTGTGTATGTTTGTGAACTTTTGTGTTTATATTCAGCTACAGAAAATCTGTTTCTGGCATCAACAGTGGGTTACACACATTTCACATTGAGCTACTTTGTATTGCAACACCTGCCTCCCCGGTATTTTGCTCTGGGAGGGCTATGATGAGTGCTATCTTCCATATTATTAAAGGATAACACGAGCATTTGCTGGCATGTCACTGTAGCAAACAATGACTTGTAGCTCCCTTGAAAATTCACACGCGTTTTATTGCTGCTTGAGAAAATAACACACATCTCCACTGCAGTTCTAGTCATTTCCCTGATTGCTAAAGGATTTCCCCTCTATTACCTCTGCATTTTCTGTGTTGCCAGGTGTGAAATGAACAGAATCATAAAGTCAGGCTGTTTTGGAGAATAAAAACAACAGCACGGTCTGTGCTGCTGAAATGGCAGCACACTGAAAGTGGAAAAATGCTAGTAGCTATTGGCAATCCAACATACGTGACAGATAGTAGAGTGTGAAAGACATATTTGCCAATTCTTGCAATTAAAAGCAATTAAAATATATATTTCTGCCTCAGGAAAAGATTTCATCTTGTCCTCAAATTTCAGTACGTGCTAAAGTTATTCTGAAAGCAATAGGACTGCTACACCTTGCTTAGAAGTAAATAATATTGATATTTAAGTGTTCCTTAAGTATGGCTGGGCTGCCAGGAGGTGACACATTTGCTAGTTGCAATAGGAGTTTCAGCAGTTATAAGATCATCTGTTTGATTCAGTTCCTGGTAAAACCACTCAGGACTTGTTTAATATTCCCACTGAATTGAATAGCAGTTGACTCAGATGAGATGTGGTCGTGGAAGTGAGGTCTAAAACTGGCTTGATCAAAGCTGTTTTGGAGATAGGATGGGGTATCTGAGGTTGGGAGGGTAAAAATCACTTGATGACAGAGTGAGGAGAGAAGAGAGCTGTATGGGGAGCCAGAGGAATGACTTGGATATGCAAAAGGTGTTTACATATTGAATAATTTGCAGCACAAGAAAAACACCTGGGACAATTCATGCCAAGTGAAGTTGCAGAAGTCTGGGTAGGTGATACACACATTTCAGCTGAATGCATGACTGATGCAGGTCAGCAGCAGCAGAGCAGGAGGGGCACTGATGCACCCAAAAGGCTCTGACAAGCCCCACCTGGGACCCCCATCCACCAGAGAGGCTGTTTGAGTTTTGCCCAGGATGCTCCTGCTGGGTCCTGGCAGTAACAAGATTCCTCTTGCTTGAGGTGCTGGTTTCATAGACAGCTTAGGTGAGAAAGTGGTGAGTAATGTGCTTTGGCTGGCTCTGTGTGTTCTCACTGCCTGATCTATGAATGGGATAACACTTCCTTCAGACAAGGTGCAAACACTTTAAATATATTACAGGCAGCTAGAATAGAAGAGATTTCATTAAGATTTCTTTTTGAAATACAAGGTGTTAACAAAATAATGCACATCTTCTGTTAAAAAAAAAAAGTTGCTGAGAAAAAACACTTGTGAAAACCTTAGCTAAAGACAAATTAGAGTGGAAAGCCTAACAACAACAATAGAAAGAAGCATAAGAGGTGAAGCTTAGAATGTTTTTAGGGAGTATGTTGGGTGCAGGGCACTAGCTCAGGCTGTTATTTTGTTATTTAGTTATTGCACCAAGATTTAATTATTTGAAGGGTTGGGATGTCTGGGACTCTGCTAAAGGAAACCTGGTCTGCTTGTGAGTGGGGTATGCAGGGAGCTGAGTGGAGCCCCTGTTGGGTGCCTGGGGCCAGCAGTGAAGGTCTCTGGTGTTGGCAGTGTGGCTGCCAGAGTCCCTCCTGAACGCTCAGGCTGGGAAGTTTCCTTTACAAAGTTTTAGATTTGTAATCCCTGCAGGAAACACCTTGATCTGTGTTACTCAGCCAGACCCTGTGGGCCTTTGCCAGAGCAGACAGACAGGGACTGGGTGAGCCTTTGCTCAGCATGGCCATGCTCATGGTCCGGGTCATATGATATAGACAGATTGACAAAAAGGGAGAGAGAGGGAGAAAGAACTGGGGAGAGTTTGTTGTTTATTCCAGTCAAAGCACTAGAAAGAGATTAGCTGGTCTAGAGTGCAATAATTAAAGTTTTGTGTGTTGCTTTTTACACAAGCAGAAGAATTCCCTGGATTCACAACCTCTTTCGTAAGTGACAACTTACAATAGCCTTCTTTCCCATCTTAGGAGGGAGGAGTAAGGAGCTGATGAGCAGCACCTGGGACACCTTTGTCTAGACAGGGCTCTTTGCTTCTTACAGGATAAACTGTTTTTCAGGGTCTGTGTGTGTACAGTTCCTAATGCGACAGAAATGCCTTTTTGATGTAGAAGCCATACAAAGAAATAACATTTAATTATAGCCAATTATGATTTATAGCCTTTGAGGGAGAAAAAATGAATGCCAGAAGCTTATTGCTAAGGGAGGTCAGGCAAGGAGGAAGCTGCAGGAAAAAGCCATCAGTTATTTCTTACTGTCTTTTGAGGAGAGTCTCCCAGTATTTGTAATCTTCTGCCTTAGAAGGAAAGCAAAGTGATCTATTTCTGCTCATGAGGTCTGGAATAGACACCTATTTAATATGTTAGGCCATTAAGAGGATAAGTGGAGCATAAACATCTATGCAGGCAAATGGAAGATGGGCTAAGGAATTTCTAGCAAGACTTTGGTTGGTTGGTGTTCGTTTTTATTTGTGCCTTTGCATTTGGATGGGTTTTAACAGAACACTTAATTCTTCCACTGTACATGTACTGGAAAGCATGTACACAAGGGTAATGAAGTTTGGGGTGCTTTATAGTCCTTTTGGTAGGTGCAAAACCATGTTTAACACCGAGTTTGATGCCCTGTGTTGTCCTGATGGCTTTATGTCCGAGCACAGGCAGCCTTCTGACAACCATAAGCACAGATTCCCATCTTTGTTCCCATCTCCATTGAGGTGCTGTGCTCTTGGCATGTAGGCACCAGCAGATGCCATCGAGCCTAAAGTGGCACTTGGCACCTGTGTACCAGTGCCCTTAAGAGGAGGGACTTGTACAGAAGAGCCACAGCTCACAAACTGCCCGTCTAAACTCGTTTTGCTTGGCACGGAGCAGACTGGCTCCATCCTGGGCGGGCAGGCGCCGTGCCATGGCAGCAGATGGGGCTGAGGGAGGGCAGCACTGGGGAAACCTTCTCCAAACACCAAGTGCCCGTGGCTGAGGGCAGGGTTTGCAGCCAGCAGCCCCGGAATGGCTCCCTGTCCTCAGCTCCCAGCTCCGCCGTGAGCGGCTCCGTGATGGATTTTAAGAGTTCAGCCCTTGTTTCACAATGTGCTGTAGTTACATTGCTCCTGACAAAATCATTTCAGCCTGAATGGTGCAGCAGGGGCTGAGAACTGTAACAAACAGACTCACAGAATTATGATCTTAATATTTGTGTGATACCATAACCAGTATGCTCTGTTTAATATTTTGTAGCATATTCTCCACAGTAAGTTACCTAAAAACAGCTAGAAACTGTCTCACGCAGGTGAGAAAAAAAAAAAACAACCAACAAAACACAAGATAAATGCAAGTATTGTTACAACCATTTCAAAATACGAGCAAATATATGCACCTGAGTTTATTTGTGGCACTTGTAGGAAAGACAATGTTCAAAATTAAAACAATATGACAATCCATAATTACCTGTTTGTTTCTTACACCAGACACAACAATGGTATGTTTTTGAGGCAGAACAGAAGTAAAGCATCTTTTAGAGCTGGTTGCCACACCTGTGATCCACCAGGGTTCCTGAATGCTCCCTTTTTATCACCTGATAAATGCCCTGAACTTGCATTCTGAGTCATAGGTTGTCTATTTAAAAGTGATAAATACTTGAGGAACAAAATGCCACTATTGATTCCACTGATGTGGGTATGTAAGCAATGAGGCACCCATTCAACAATAAGCCCAGTGAGTGCAAGACAAGAATTCCTCCAAACTTCATTGGGTAAATATTGCTTTACAAAAAGCACAATCATCCTAGACATATTGCATATTCTAGATAAAGTCAATTTGACTACTTGAGCTGCTGTAAAAATAAGCTTAGCATTAACACTGAGGCTGGACAGGAACAGCAAAATAAAATCAAAAGAAACAAAACAAGGTATAGACTGACTCATGATATTCCTTGATCTGTCTGTAGTTGTCACACAGGACAGTTGTTATTCTCATCAAAACAGCAATTTAATGAAATTAATATCACTGTGGTGGCATCATTTGTTTTTGTGATGTTTTGTGGCTTCAAGAAAGATTATTTTTTCATACCCTCACTCACCAAAGAAGGATAACCATAATTTATTTTTTTCAAGTTTTACTCTACAAAGTTTTCTTGAAAGCTAGAAATACTTGGGGCCTGACAGATACAGTTTTTTGATCTGTTTTATTTGGTGTTTTGTTTCTTTTAATCGTCTCCCAAATGAGAATGTCATTTGGGATGATGCAAAGAGCTTAAATACGAATTTTTCTTCTCTCAGCAGGAGAGAGAAGACTTTATATCCATAAAGTTATATAACACAGCAGTAACTGCCCTGACAGTACTAAAGTTAGTTACTAAAATTAGTAAAGTTAAGTATAAATATATAGGCTTAAGAGGACACTTTGCAATTACTATAAATTACTGTTAATTCATGCCTGGTGTCAGCCTCTGCTGAAAACTCCAGGGAGCAATTTGGGGTGTCCTGTTTCTTCCTGAGTGTCCCCAGCACTGTCCCTGCAGCCTGTGCCACTTCCATGTGCTAGAAAAAGCACAGATGTGCAGGTCCCACACTGTAGGTAGTTTTCAGGGAAAAAAAATATCAAATGCAAACAGTTACATTTTGGGAGCAGTGGGGCCCTGAGGAGACCTTGGATCTTGTTTGGTTGGTGTCACTTGGCTTAATTCAGCAGTTCCATTTTGCAGTGTAGGCAGGTCTCTGGGGCCGATTGCATTGCAGGTACATGGGGCTTGGAATGAGGTTTTCAAAAATCCCCATATGATCTTTTCAG